TCATGTCGTTTAGCAAAAAATGATTTTGAATCATTTTTATCCGAATATTTTTCTTTTGTTCTTCTTGATGGTCAAGCTTATATTAAATTTCTTCTGCGTGACAATAATGATAATATACCATATAGTTTTATGTTATTACGTATTATGGGACAACCTCCATTACTTTATCTTAAATTTGCTTTTCAAGCAAAAGCAACAAATGTTGAAAGACATAAAGTAAAAAAACAAATAAATAATATTTAAAAAAACAAATTTGATTTGTTCTTTTTTAAATTTTATTTCTTTAGATAATGGAAGACTTTCGATGTGCCCTTATTCGTCTTCGTCCACGTTCACGTAATAAATCTGGAAATCCCAGTGAAAATAGTCGTAAACAACAAACATCAACACCAGTTTCATCTAATAGTAGCCAACGATCATTACCATCATCAACACTTTCAATTCATCAACGGTCAACAACAACATGTTGTATTGTTTTAAATAAAAACATTGAACGATTAATGCTCAAGTAATATTCTTCTTCAAATAGATTAAACGAATTATTTAAAACAAAAAAAATTTTTTTTTTGTTTTGATTTTTTAGACCAGATCCATTTCCATATGAATCACTTGGAATCCAAAAACCTGATGATGATGATATACAACATAAAAATCGAACAGAATTAGATTCCAAACGACAAGCATTATCGAAATTTTTTTATATACGTACATTTATACGTTCATTTGAAAGTATTAAACATTCATCAAATATTCCAAAACGTATAGCAGATATTATTCTTGATACATTTATAAGGTTAAATATAAATCAAATCTACTATCTTAAAATAAATTTTATTTATATTTTTAGACGACGACTTCAAGAAGGTTTTCATTTTGTAGTAACACATAATAATATTCATAACCTTGTCCTTGAAGTTAAAATGAATGTATGCATTTTTATATAATTATAAATTTCTCTTTTTTTTTAATGGAAAGTAACTTTTTTAAAATTTTTTAGACGCCAAAAGAAGAACATTTAAAAGATGTACTTCGATCAAACTCCAATATTAACTTCTATCCTGATGAAAGACCACGAACATGTCTTGTACAATATAGAATTTATCCGGTTGAATATGGTCGTTCAAATGATACGTAAGAATATTTTGAGTTATTTCTAAGAGATCTTACATGAAAGACATCTTTAAGAAAATATCCATCCTAAGATATCTTCTATAAACTCTTCAACACGTTAGAAAACCTTAGATCTTCGATTGTGTCTTATCATTTACATATTACAAAAGATTCTTCTATTATATTCTTCAAAAACGGTCGTACATTAGAAAACAAACAGGTCATTGATTAGAAGAGTATTGTTAGAAAAAAAGCAATCAGTTGGACTCTAAAAGTTTCACACCTATTATTATATAGTACTTCTTCTGTAAAGAATAAAATCAATTATTCACAAAAGTATCTTCTCATTTCATCGACATCCTCTTAATTAGTTTGCTTTATCGACGAAATTTTTAACTGAAGAAAATTCGCTTTTGGAGAAAGAAATAAACTATCAAACTCTTTATGCTCTAAATAATGTTTTTTCTGATGCAATTATTGAAGATTGTAACTTTTACTACAACTAATGTATCTCTGAAACAGATTCAAAAGTATGAGATATTTAGTTCAAGAAACTGAAACTTTAGCATTGATACTTGTTTCTGAAAACAAAAAATTATTTGATAGAGAAGTTTGGCCTTAGAACACGTATTCAAGATTCTTCGACTACTAGACAAAACTTAGATTGATGATGGCTGTTTATTCCCAAGACAACTATACAATTGTTAGAAATTTAATAGTAGTGTAAAACAAGTAACGGATTGGAGGGCCAGCATCAGTCACCTAAACCAACCATTGCCACATTTAATTCAAATTTACAAACAGTTATTGATGAATTACAAAAAAGATTATGCGTTTATCAGGAATTCATTAAATAACTTGATAACAACATGAATAAGCCTCAATGGAATAAAAAAATCTATTTCTCGAAATCAATAAATTCTTCATTTATTGAAACGATATGGAAAAAGATTCTTTGTCATTAGATAAATATTTGAATAAGATTGATAAAAAACGTTGTTTAGAAAATTACATTAATATTTTGTTGCCATTCTCTTATGAACTATTAAATTATACTCTCATTTCTATTATTACAATCATATTCTGTAACAAAATGTTGTAATTTTTTTTTTCTTGACATAATATTGCTGAATAAAAAGTGTTGACAAAAAGCGATGAAAAAAACAAACAAAGGTCAATGAAGTAGAAAAATTAATGAATTAACTTTGATTTTTCGATTAAACGAGATCATACTATTCGCAACATTTATTGTTTCATATAGCTACATAGTTGAAAGAAAGAAAATGGAACATTTTTTAATTCAACTGCTTATGTTGAAGTTTGAGTAGTGTAGACAGAATCAATTCAAAGTGAATTGTACTACGATCTTAGTTTTTGCTCATTTGAATGAATACAGTTATCTATGAGAAAAAAAAAACAGTTTAGAAATAAAGAACGGTTGGAGGACACATTGAAGATGTTTTTAAAATCCTGTATATTTTTGTTAAAAAAAATACTTTTGCATCTTTTTTTCCAAAAAGAAACGTATTCTCAGGCATAAAAGGCGTATTTCATAGAGCATACTTCAATACGTATCCTCAAATTAGACAATTTTCCGCTTAAGAATGTGTTCTTCCATGGCAAAAAAACGTATATGAATTTTTAGAAGACAGTCCATCGATGTAGTGTAGTTTTCAGTAATAAACAACGGAATTTTATTGAATATATTCCTATTTAATAAAGATACTTTTATGTGTCATACGTTTTGATGTGTACCAAATTAATCATGTCCTATGATTTTAAAGACAAATTTTCCGTAAAGGAAATTGAAATTAATTAACTATTGCTTCCTATTAACTTTTTCGTATAAATACTATTCATATTGAACTTAGATATTAATGAGGATATGAATACTGAAAAAATATTAGTAAACCTGGTAAGATTATTAAAAAATCGATTATCAGTAGATGTCTTTGTAGTTGTCTTGAACATCGTTTATTTAAGATAGGTCTTCGAATGCGTCAAAAACTTTACATTATTTATAGATAGTATTCAGTTGGTTCAGTCCTTCTGAAAATCATATACTGTCTAAGTTATTAAATAAACATCGACATTCCAATACGAAATTAGAATATGAGGCATAAGACAGGATCGAAATTAAAAAGACTAATTCCACTCAGGTTTAAAATAGATAAAGACATGATCAGTAAACAAACTAAAATATTGAAAAAGTACCTTGATAATCTTCATAACATACTTATCTCTATTTTTTGTTACGTACTTCGATAAAATGTAATTGTCATTAGCTATCTAGTCAATAAACTATTTCAAACTTAATAGTGTTTCATCATCTGTGTACATTTTTGCTACTATAAAAGTTAAATTTTTCTATAAAAAATAATATGATTTATTTAAAATTCGAAATTTGTGACATTGTCCATCATTGAAAGTATATACAAAAAATAGATCAAATTTTTGCAATGAAAGACAAAGTCATTTCTAAATTGAATCCG